TTATTTATTTATTTATTTAGGAAGCAGAGATTGCACGTGCCCCTAATGCCGCAAAACTCTTATCTTCTGCCCGAACCGTCACATTCGCCGCATTGGGTCCAACAACGGCAACGTGACACAACAGTGGAGTTGAAGTTCCCAACAATAATGCCGCTGCAATGATTTCATTGCGAATGACTTCCACTACACGTAAGGAGGCTCGCTCTAATAATAACTGTCGCAATAGTTCTGGTGTGAATGTTAGAGGGGATGTTAACTGTACTTTACACTCCTCTTTTAGTTGCAGCCATATCTCACCAAACTGTTGTGTTGTCATTTGCAATGGTGGTCGCAGTAAATCATATAAACGCACTGGAATAGATGCTGAAATACGTTGGGTATCATTAGAACCCATCATCATCATATTATTATTATTATCACTATTATTATTATTGTTACTACTACTACTACTACTACGATATGTAACTTCCACCTGTACAGTTCCCTCACTGGGGAATGCTATTGGAAGGAGGTGTAATGATAAATTGAGAGGTTGATGGCTTTGCAGTTTTTCCAATGTAAACATATTCCCATTTACTGTTGAGATTGGTATAGAGGATTCCATCATACGAAGTGTACAGTTTAAAGGAGGTTTTATATGAATAGTAATATTCTGAACGGTAGTTTTTCCTATAATTCGAATGATAATCCCCATAGCAGTTGTCTCTCTCACCTGTTCCATCTTTACAGTCAGTATAGGTTCATTATTCACTTCTAATGTTTTCGCAGAACTTAATGTAAGTTCCGTCATATCTACCTGACGTCGTGTGATTGTTTTTTTCTTTGATGATCCACCAAAAATATCATTTAAAAACTTTTCATTTTTACTCGGTTTCACATGTTCACGTTGGGATGGCATAAGTGGATCCACATAATGAAGAACCGTCCCATCTGAGAGATGTTCTGTTTTTCCCATACTTGTGGATATTTCTTCTGTAGATCTCATTAAAGACTTTTCTTCTTCTCTTCCTGCTGTTTCTACTACTCCTGCTGCTCCTGCTGCTGTTTCTTCTTCGAGGTTTTTCACTCCCCAACGTCTTATATTTGGACGAATAAAAAGTTTATGAGGTTCTTCCGTGTTAAACTTCTCTGGATCCAATTCACTCTCATCTACGATATCTGCCCGTTGCGCTTTATACGCATCTGTGCGAAGTGTTTCCTCTTCTTTTACCCCAAACCGCAAGGTTCTCTTTTCATACGGTTTAGCCCCAGCCAAAAGGGCTTCCTCTACAATATTATTAAGAAATCCCATAGACTCATCTACCTCAATATTCTCACAACATCCATCTAATGGAAGTACCTTCTTCATCAATACAGGCATCTTCACAAGTTCTGTGAATTCATAACATCTTTGCTGAAGTCCTACTCCTCTACTACTTTTAAATCGCTCCACCAGTTCCTCCACGTTATCCGGCAAATAACCAACATGCGCCACAATCTTCATCATCGCCATGAGAATCCATTCTCGCGTCGATACACTTTCCGCCCGTTCCAACATATCACAAAGACGATCTAATAACATGGTGCGACTTACACGTTTGGTGAGAAATCCATATTCACCAATTACCCACGCTGCTACTCGACAAAATGCTTCGGGTAATTTTTTCTCTGTACTTTCAAGAAGATCAAAATAATTTTCTACACAAAATACACGTAAAGCTGTATCTTGAGTTACATCATCGGTTTCACCTTCGGCGATAAGTTTTAATATACCTTGTATAGTAGTTTGCGGTACATGTTCAGCTGCACAGAGTAATACTTTATTCATTGTTTCAATATACCAAATAGCGCCTGGACTAAATCGTTCTGCCGCATCACATATTCGCCTTGTGAGGTCTTGTCGCACATATTTATCTTTTGTCTGCGAAAGTGATTTTACTAATCTACTTAAAATAGTATCAATATTATCTTCATTACACATAGCAAGAAGGAGTAACATTGTTTTTCGACGAATTGTTTCATCCGCATCTTCTAAACATGCCATTACGACTTGTTGATGTTCACGAGCATATTTTGCATCTACAAGAACAATTTGAGAAAGAGCTTGAATTCCAACATATCGCATATTAGCATTTGTTCCTGATAGAAACTTTGCAAGAGCTTCTGCAGCCAGTTGTATAAGAGATGGAATAGTGGGAATACGTGTAATAGCACTAATAGCTTCACAGGTAACAGCATAACCAATACTTAATCCATTATCACTTCGTTTAATAACTTCTGTAAGTATATCTTCACATTCATTTGCAAGTAATTGATCATCACCAATAAGCATAGAGAGAATTTTTAATATCTTCATTTGAAACCATGGAGCAGGAATACGATGATAATCATAATCACGAGAAAGACGATTTTCTGTAATTTGTCTGAGAATAGATTTAAATATTGGAATAAGATCACGTTGAGAAACTGGATCTGCATAAATAACATCTGAAAAGAGATGAAGTGCAGCTCCCATTACGGAAGGATCTTGATCACATAATGCCCGTCTAAACAATTTACAATCTCCAATAAGTCCATCTGATTTACGGTAAAAAGCCTGCATTGTTTGTATAACTTTCTTCCGTACTAATGCATTTGGATGATTTAATAAAGACACAACTTCTGCGTTAATAGCCGTCATTAACTCCGGTCGAAGCATCTTTCTCGCTGCGGTGAGGGCAGCGGCGATATCAAGAAAATTAGTGGACTTCATATCCCGCTGTAAGTTAGAGACGATGAGATACATGAGTTCATGCTCGGGTCCCACAGTAAGCCAAGTGCCAAGATAACCCGTTCGTTTAAATAAGAGATCAGGACTGGAGGAAAGATTTACACATTGTATATGGGCAAACTCAGCAGAGTGTCCAAGCATCTCCGCATAAAAGGTACGGACAACATATTCTTTTAGTAAACGTTTATCAATATTTTTTGCAGCGAGGGATTTCTTTAGATCGGCAAGATCACGAACTACAATCTCATCTTCCTCCTGCTTTGATTTGGACTCACCAATACTGCGGATATACTCAAAGAATCCACGCGAGTGACCCTGTTGAGTTTGCGCCTTATACAACTTCGACATTATATATATATATATATATATATATATATATATATATATATATATATATATGTGTATGTGTGGGACTGTGGGAATGAAGTGAGGAAAGGAAGGCGGTGAATCCCTGTAAAATGAAAAGAACAGAAGAAAAAAAAGAAAAAAAAAAAAAGAATAGAGAAAAAGAATATGAAAGTAATAATAAATACATCTTCTGCAACGAAAATACAGATACCTAAATGAAGTCCATTAAGAATATCTTTTTAATAGATATTAGTTTTTTTTTATTATTAATATACAAGAACAAAGAACAAGAACATAGAAGAAGGCTAATAATGACTATATCATTACTAATAATCTATAATTCTTATATTCTATGAATTACCTTCTGGTTGTTAAATACACTTTCCATACACACACAAACAAACACAGAGGAAAAGAGTTAAGATTTGTCCATATGATATGATTACTATATGAGACTAAAACAAATAAATAAATAACACGCAACTGTTTTTATTATTTTATTTATTTATTTTATTTTATTCCTTGTTCATCTTCCTTATCTTCTTCACTTTCTTCTAAAACCTGAATTCGAGATTCAGAGTTTGAATCCACCTCTAATGAGTTCATTTCTTCAGCTAATTTAATAAGGATGGCAGTATCAAAAAATGTACCATGATCACTTCTCATAAAATCACCATTGTAACTAGAGTAGTTATAGTTATTCATATTAATTCCAAACACATCCATCATATTATCTAAATAACAATCTTCATTAAACTCTGTATAAACTCCTCCTCCTTCTTCTTCTTTTTCTTCTTCTTCTTGCTGGAGTATATATGGATCTACATATTGAACCACCTTACTTTGCTCTATAGATCCCTTTCTTTCTTGTGAATCTTCAGATATATGAGATGATTGAGATATTTCATGAGATTCCATCATTGTCTTCATAATGTAATGATGTTGATGATGATGATCATCATCATCATCATCATTAACAAAAGTGGAATGGGCCGTACTTTCATTTCCATCCTCACATTCATCCTTTCTCTCTACAGATTCTCCTTCTATCCCAGTTTGAGAGTCAGAAGAGCAGCAGGAACTATTATGATGATGATGTGAAGATGAAGATAAGGAAGAGGATGGTGTTATCAAGTTATCGTGATCCAACTCCTGCAGGAGATAATCAATGAGATCAAGAGACTCTCCATCACCCTCAAGGGCCCCAGAGACCCATTGAAGAATAACACCCACTGTTTCTTCCCATGCTTTATCACGAATTAATTGTTGTTGTTGTTGTTGTTGTTGTTGTTCTTCTTCTTCTCCTTCTTGTATTTCTGCATATGTGTGGGGTAAATTACTATTTGATGTACAGGACTTTTCTGATGTTTTACAGCTATTCATCGCATCTGACTTTATTTCTACTCGTTGCCAAATACTACAGACAGTCTAAGAATGAATAGAAGAACAAGAAGAAGAAAAAAGAAATATATACATGAATATCAATAAAAACAAATTAAAGAAGTAGAGTCATATGAAAAGAAGGAAAGAGATAGAAGAAAGATAATAATAATAATAAAAAACAATCGCGTGAAGAATCCACACATGTGTGGATAGCAAACATGAGGTAAACGATGCAAAATCATAAGGGAATGAGAGAATGAAACATACAAACAAAAAAAAAAAAAAACTTACATTAATAAGTCCATCAATACCTGATGGGAAGCAAAGTTTTGCATAGACAAAAATGTCCACCCTCCCATTACTCCTATCGCAGTTCTCATTCTTTCTATTTTCCTCTTTTTTTTCTTCTTTTTTGACTCCCCAACACCCCATATTTCCTCCTTTCTTTTGTTTGTATTATTATTATTATTATTATTATTATTATTTACTTTTACTACTACTATTATTATTATTAGTAGTAGTAGTAGTTCTAACAGTAGTAACCAAATGGTCATAAACCCTCTCTAGTGTGAAGAAAAAAGAAAAAAAAAAAACAACAAGAACAAGAACCATCACACCTTCTTTCTTCTCAAAATAAATCCCCAATCTCTCTAGGTGATTTAAAAACTCTATCCACTCTTAGTTTTTCTCTCCCTGTGGTTCCTGTGGTTTATTCTGTTCATTAACTGTACTCTCCTCTGCTGTATTGGCACGCCCAGCACGTATGAGATCAGCGGTGTGGCGAATCACAGTTGCGATGTCCTCCACAGACGCCATTCCACCAATGCCAATATCTCCACAAGCGAGTCGCTTCCGCACGGGGCCCACAAGTTGAAAAAGCGATTCATCAAATGTCGCTGGTAAATGTAGCGGCTCATCCAACTCACTATTACTAGTATTTGTGGTAGTGTGTAAATCCACATTATCAACATGTATACCACTACTCGTATTATTCACATTACTAGTACTATTCGTATTCGTATTTGTATGATTAGCTGTAGTAGTATTACTAGTATTCGTATTAGTATTAGTAGTAGTATTAGTTGTTGTTATTGTTGGCGCTGCACTGTACCAATCCCGCAGTGTGTTTAATTGTGTTGCGGTGACGGGATGTGTCCACATGGCTGTATTCATGGCGGGGCAAACAATCACCGGCTTCTTCCGCACCTCCCACGCCCGCATCACGCAGGTGACGAGATTATCACACAATCCATTCGAGAGCTTCGCCAGACTGTTCGCGTCCAGCGGCGCAATCACCACAAGATCGGCCCATCGGCGGAGTTCAATGTGCATCACGGCATCATTCATCCCTTGCCACTCCCGCCACTCATCATCGTCGGTGAGAACGCGATGGAGGGGGAACTCACGGCCGCTGTGCTGCACACGTGTGAGAAAGTGAAATGCGGATTTCGTAGCGGCAATGCGGATATTAAAAGGCTCGCCAAAGAGCTGATCTACCAATAGTCCAACCTTTACAGCAGCAATACTGCCAGTTACTAATAAAAGGAGGTTCACAGAAGCTTTTCCTGCTTCCATTTTTGTAAAACTAATGCACTCAATCAATCACTCTCACTGAGAATAAATAATAAACACAAATCCGTTTAAAAAAAAAACTAATAAAGAAGGATTAGTAGAGAGGAAAGGAAGAGAATCTTTTGGAGCAAAAAACAAAAAGAGAAAAAGAAAGATAATCTTCTCTTTTCCTCACCAGGCGCAGGTTAATACCCCCCACCCCCTTTAATATATATATATATATATATATATATATATATATATATATATATATATATTTAATATGTTTTACCATTCAATATTTCATTGTGAAATAGCAATAGAAGAGAGATTGCATTTTTTTTTTTCCAACTTCGCACCTCATTTCCTCATTCGTTTACTCAACTACTACCCCCAATCATTATTATTATTATTATCATTATTATCATCATTGTTACCATTTCTTTTTTTTTTGTTTGCAATACTTTCAAAAAATATCTTGTCTACTTCCATTTTTTAATATATTAATAAATTCATCAATATCATCATATTCAGCACATAACTGTTCCATCTCTGAAGGGCTAAACTGAAGACCCTTCTCTTTTGCCTTCTGCAATACTTCTTTTAAAGCCGCAAGTCGTACTTCTGTTAAATTCTCTGAACCGTAGTAATGTCTCACCATTTCTGCAGCGTATTCCTCTGTAAATTTCCCCATATGTAATCGCATCGTGATAAATCCTGGTCGAGTCAATGCCCCATCTAATCGTTCAATATGATTAGTCGTCATTACAATAATTCGCTTAGGGGCATCAAGAATTCCTCCAAAAGCCTCCAACAGACCTTTCGTGCTAAGAACATCCCTAATAAAGGGAGATCCATTTTTACCCCGACGAGCTTTAGATGTTCCGTTTGTCTCTTTCGTTGCTAAAGTGGCATCTGCTGTAGCATCTGCATCTTCTAACAAATAAATAACTTTATCTGCACGAAGTGTTACCTTGCAAGATTGATTGCTACCTTCCAATTCAAATACTTGATCATGCATACAAGCAATAAGTTCACGATTTGTTTGTACTTGACTGAGTGGAATAGAAATAATATGACGACCTGTATACCGCGCTATAGCTTTCACCAGACTTGTTTTTCCTGTCCCTGGTGGTCCATAAAGAAGAAGTGTAAGTTTATGAGGAAATCCCGGTACAGCAAACTTACCAATTTTATTTTCAAATTGATCAATTAAAGTTATTAATTTTTTTTTTTCTGGAAAGAAAAGAGAATTAAAAGATTTCGTATCACATAATGGATATCTGGCAACTTTCATTAAAAAATCTCCAGAACCTCCATCTGCATCTTCTACCTTTCGAACTGGTTGATACAAGTATCGTTGAGTATTTGTCGCACTATCTACACTCTTCACATACCAATCAAAAGCCGTTTGTACAAATGAAAATGCCCGATCACTTTTATCACGATTTCCTTCTGTTTCTGTCATTACAATTTCCCGCATGATATTATTTGCACGTGATCTTTTCCCTTTATTAGCACGACCTCTTCCTTTCGTATTACTATTTTTCTGCTTGTCATCAGATTCTTCACTTTCCTCATCATCTAGTTCTCTTATTTGTAGTACCACACCATTTCCAAGTTCCACCTTCTCTTTAGAGGGACGACTGATGAGTACAAACTCTTGTTGGAGTATTTGGGCCAAATTCTTCGCCGCACCTTCACTTCTCTGTGAAGCCAAACTATAAACAAACTCTCCAGTAGAGTAAAAGGGTTTCACATTTTGATTTACATATCGTTCAATCGCCTCCTGGAGAACAGAACCTTCTGTTAAGTCCACAGCACGATGATAACGATCCCGCAAGCCGTGTTGTATTTTCACTTCTTCTGATTTCGGTAGAAGAGATTCCATTAATTTCTTGAGAAACTCTGGCCAAGTTACGGAGAAAAATCTCGCCACCCAATTAGACACTATGGGAATAATAATAGCAATAATCATATCTACTAAACTGTTCCCAGTTCGCCATGCTGACATAAAATTAAGATTCAGAAGCGATGTATAAGCATCCATCTTTTTTTTTTGTTTACTTTACTTTACTTTCTTTCTACTTGAATCTTTCTTTCTTCTTTTTTCTTTTTGTTTGTAATATTGCTTTTTTTTTTTGTTTTGTTTTAATTATCTTTCTACTCCCTCGTACCTAGGTAGGAGAGTAGGCTCTGTAATGAGAACGAAAAAAAAAAAGAAAAAGAAAAGAAAAAAAAAAAAAACGTGTCTTCACACCCTCCTCTTCAGAACCTGCATGAATGAAAATAAAGGAATATTCCAGCAACCAAAGAAAAAAAGGTATAGAGACAAGAAACAAACATACACATATACACACAAGATATATATATATATATATATATATATATATATATAAATG